CAAATTCCAGAAAGAAAAAAAAACTTGAAAATTTTCAGCAATGGCGGCCATTGGTAGTTGGATCTGATTTGTCTCAAGCTCCATCAGCCACGCCCAAAGCCTGCTCCAACAGCAGCACCAGTGGCGGCGCCGCCCACGCCGGTGGCGGGAGCACCAAGTCCAGCACCATCAGCCACCATTACGCCGCCCGCATCATCTCCGCCGTCTGATTCCCCCACCGCTTCTCCCCCTGCTCCTCCCACTTCTCACCGCCACACCGCCGCCCACCACCGCCCACCGCTACACCGCCGCCCACCACCGCCCACCGCTCACCGCCGCCACCGTCACCGGTAAACTTAATTTCTGCATCAGTTTAAGATTCTCCAATAACAGAAGAAAAAGCTTCTTCTTTGAAGGGTTCCTAATTAATTGGGTTTGTTCTTGTTTTCTATTTGCTAATTTGATTTGTTAACTTAATTGATTTGAATATTCCATGAATCAGGTGATAAAATCTTCAATTTCCTTTTTGCATATTTGTTTTGCTTGTGCTAATTGTGAGCCTTGTGCTGAATATTAGGTTTTTAGGTTGAAAGGCATTCTCTGTATCAAAGTTATCATTTATTTTTTATTTTTTAATGAGATTCTAGATCTTTAAATATTAGGTTCCACTGAAGTTAAATAGTTAGATTCTACTCTATGTTTTTTATGTTTTTAGGTTGAATTGCTCTATTCTTTGTTATACTGAAGCTAAACTGCATCTTTCACACGATTCATAGGTAACAACTGAAAATTTCTGATACGGTTTTAAAGATATGTGTTAGATCCACAAACCTAAAATGTTGATACTGCAAAGTTACTATACATACCTATTTTTAAGAAGAAATTCTTCTGTGTGTGGATGGAACTGTATGTTAATCGATATTTGTCGGTCGACGATAATTTAGTAACATATAGTAACATGTAGTAACATATGCACGTGATTGCGTATTTCGATTTATATTTATTGGTTATGAGTTGATTTATAATATAAATATTTAAATTGAACCTGTTTTTTTTTTCCACAGGTTTTGGTGTTTGAACATCTTCTACACTAAGCTTTTGCCGAGAGGACATGTATTGTTCGTCAGTTCGAAACAGTTACCGATTAGATCGAAATTACTATCGTGTTGAAAAGTAGGATTTGAAGCCATAAATACAAACTATATTGTATACTCTTATAGTTACATGTGGTCATATACACGTATTCATGTAGTCATGTAGTCATATATAATCATATGTAGTCATATACAAGTAGTCATATACAAGTAGTCATATATAGTCATATGTTGTCATATAGATGTAGTCATATATAGTCACATGTAGTAATATATAGTCACATGTAGTCATGTACATGTAGTCGTATATAATCATATGTAGTCATATGCAAGTAGTCATATATAGTCACATGTTGTCATATAGATGTAGTCATATATAGTCACATGTAGTAATATATAGTTATATATTAGATATGTGGTTTTTCCTGATGTATAGTGATGTTGGTGTTTTTCTAATTCTTTTGTTGGGTACTAATTGATTTATAATATCAAGTTCCAAATTGTGAATTTTGTTGATGTAGACGAAGTTTTTTTTATATATAATCAACCGTCTATATAATCGTCCGACCGTAATTTTGGTGTAAAAAACAGTTCATGACTACATATAATTATACTAGTATACTATAGTCATTTATAGTCAATTTCTGTACGGGAAACATATCGAGTAAATAATTTAAAAACTAATATAAGAAAAATCAGAAAAAAATATAATTAAAAAAAAATTAAAAAAATAATTAAAAGAAAAGTTAAAGAAAATTAAAAAAATAAAAATAATACAAAAAGGTATATATATAAAAAAAATAATAAAAAAACATTTATATTTTTTTATTAAAAAAATCTGTAAAGGTGGTAAATGCAGGTCAAAAATGCTAAAATGCAGTTGGTGGAAATGCTGCATGCAGTTGGTGGAAATGCTGAATGCAGTTGGGTGGAAATTGAACATAAGGGCCAAATGGTACTTTTACCTCTCCAGGGGGTTATCTCAAAGAAAGAATTTTAGGGGTGGACCTAGCCCTATATAAGTTGCTTATAAGGGGTGTATATCAAATGGGCCCATTTTCTAATATAGAAAACAACCCATTTCGCTATTTTCAGAAAAAAAAACAAAAATAGATTTTTTTTTTCCCAAAACGAATGGGTGCGTATTATAGTCCCAAAATTGTGAAAATCTTAAAAAAAAAAAAAAAAAAAAAAAACAATTCTTCTCCTAGGAACTATTACGGTGATCCATCCATCCATCAATTAACGCAGTTACCTTTCAATTGGACGGATTAATGGCAATTCTGACAAAAAGATACGCAGGAAATAGTAATTTGGGCAAATTGCAAGTGAAACAAAATTTTGAAGGGAAAGAATTCCTTTTTTTGAATTTATAGGTACTAAAGTGCAAACATTTAAAACTTCTAGGGAGTGAAGTGCATTTACCTCTTTGTTTCTACGCGTAATTTGTTAATTCATTATGACTACAAAAGGGTTTTTTGTTTTTCTTCTTCTTATAATTACTTGCGCCGACAAATTCATTAGGTTGAAAGATTTTACTGCTACAAAATTGTTTTAGGTCTATTGAATATTCAGCCAAACTCCATGGACATGATATCCGAGTTGCCGAAAGACATCTTGCAGAGAATACTTTATTTTCTCTCCCAAAAAGAAGCTGTCAGAACATCTGTCTTGTCGAAATCATGGCGCAGTATTTGGCGCACTCGTCCCAATCTTGATCTTGATTTTTCAGACCCCACATTTATGGACAGGACACGAGAATTTCTATACATTGTCGACGAGACTTTACTGCTGTACCGCAATCAAGATAGTAATATTAATTAAAATAACTTTTTTGAGAAAAAACAAAATTTCAAAAAAAAAAAAGGTCAGTTAACAGTTAAATTACTGTTTCCGACTGTTAATAACTGTTGGAGACAGTAATTTAGCAGTCAAGACAGTAATATTAATTAAAATATTTATTTTAAGAAAAAAAGTCAATTAACAGTTAAATTACTGTCTCCGACAGTTAAATAACTGCTGGAGACAGTAATTTAGCAGCCAAAACAGTAATATTAATTAAAATATTTATTTTAAGAAAAAAAATCAATTAACAGTTAAATTACTCTCTCCGGCAGTTACATGACTGATGGATACAGTAATTTAGCAGTCAAGACAGTAATATTAATTAAAATATATTTTTTAAGGAAAAAAAAGTCAATTAACAGTTAAATTACTGTATCTGACAGTTAAATAACTGCTGGAGTCAGTAATTTAGCAGCCAAGACAGTAATATTAATTAAATTTTTTTTTTACGAAAACACAAAATTACAAAAAATTAAAAAAAAAGAAGAAAAAAAAATCAACGCTAGGGACCCTACGGTCAAAGGCGTTGACCGGCCGGAAAAGAAAAATCAGAAAAAAGACGAAGTCAAAGGTGGCTAACCGGCAGTCTCCAGTGGTGGCGGATCAAAATTGAAATTATGGTCAAAATTGGTTAATTTGTGAAATTTGGCTAAATTATGGTGTAAATTATGAAATTGGAGTTTGCATTAGGTTTCAAGGAAGTTTGGGTAATTTTGATATATATAAAAGAATTTTCTTTATTTGCATATAAGTTTGAGTGAAGTGGAAATATTTGAAATACGAAAAAGGCAATGTCCCTTTTTTAATTAAGTGCCCTTGTCATGGGCCTATTTGCCATCACCGGGTAAAAAAATTAAAACAAGGAAATAACGTCGGCCAAATCATAGAATTCTACCTTTTGTAGAGTTGTAAGCAATAGAAATTACTATTCCTGCTCAAATTTGAACTGACCGACACGCTTACGGAATTGTTATAAGAAGCTTATTGCAAACCTAATAAAAAGGTTCGTTATTTATTTACTGCATCAAATTTAATTTTATTCGGCACACAAAATCGTTTAGGGTTTATCAGGCATGAAAAAAGCAAACCGGGCTAGTTCCAACTCCATGGACATGATATCTGAGTTGCCGAAACACATCTTGCATAGAATACTTTATTTCCTCTCCCAAAACGAAGCTGTTCGAACATCTGTCTTGTCGAAATCATGGCGTACTATTTGGCGCACTCGCCCCAATCTTGATCTTGATTTTTCAGACCCCACATTTAGACACAGTACACGAGAATTTCTATTCGTTGTCGACAATACTTTACAGCTGTACCGCGATCGGACGCTGCGGTTAGAGGAGTTTCGTCTCTCTATATGTACGGACCATTATGAATCTGTTTCACTTCTCCAAAAATGGATCCCATTGCTCACATCTATGGGCGTAAAGGAGTTTCGTCTCTCTATTAGTTCCAAAACGTCCGATCCGGGGCGTCTGGATTTGCCATCTGTAGTTTTCGAAGCCGTCGAATCACTCAAACATTTGCGCGTGGAAAGATTTTTATTCGACGAAAAGGCTATTGAAAAGATAACACTCTGCAAGAATCTAAGATCACTTCATCTCGTAGATGTCGCGGTCGACGATAGTATTTTTCAGCAGATGATCGCAAGGTGCCCTTTGATTGAAAACCTATGCGTCGAAGGATTAGGTATAGGGTTAAGAACAATCAACACGAATGATCTTCGCAATCTCGAGGAATTTACTTTTACGGAAAGATTAGGATTATGCTGCAGACACTTTCCGGTGGAACTTTGTAGCATCGAAATCTACCCCGTATCTCTTCGAACCATCAACATTAATTACGGAAATATTATGTTCCGCAAAGAAGCCAACTTTCTTAATCTCAATGATTTATTTCTGCAAGGCGTGAAATCGTCGTTGGACAACTTGTCGTTTGGTAAATTCCCGAGGCTCAGACGCTTGACCCTTTTGCATTGTGATGGATTGAAAGAATCCCGGGTATTTATCGACGCCCCGAACATACTCTATTTCGAATACAAAGGAGACTTTGTTCCGACGGTTTCGTTTGCAACGAATTCCTTCCGGGATTGGAAGTCGGAGATACACATACAGCATATAAACGACGGTTCTCCCTCGTGGTTCCTCAAGCTAAATAAACTGCTCAAGTCGTTAAGCCAATCGAAAATTTCTCTGAGTATATATAAGCATCCCAATGATGAAAAGGACATAATTCAAGAAAACATTGATCCGGTACACGACAAACCCGTTTTGGTGGAGAGCTTGAACTTGGCTTGTGGTTTATCGTCCTTTCCGGCGCTTGTAAACGGTGTATTTAGTATTTGTCGTTCGAGAAACATTGGTAACTACCTCAAGGCATGGCATGACGAATTCGTCGAGTCGGAGTATTCATGGAGGGGATGGGAGGTAGAATTCGTCGGGTATATGTGGAAGATTCTGATGGAGAGAGAAAGTGGAAGCAAAGACGAGCCCTCACGGTTGTTGCTTCGAGATTTAGAAGAAGCGAGCATGGAAATTATGAAAAGTATTCACGGAGATGAAAAAGAAGACGAATGGTATCGAGCACCTCTGTCGGAGTGTCTTCTAAACCTTAGCAGAAGTTATTGTCGCTTCGCACTGAAATGGAGAGATACTATGTGAATGTGAGTCCTCTAAGCGAGTATACTCGTTTCTTTAGCGTTTTATTTTATTGTTGGTGAAAACATCGAATACTTGTGTTTTTTTTTTTTTGCAGGGATTGTCCGTTTGAATCGACGAAAAACCGCTGCCTTGTATGAAGCCTGAAGGTATTCTAGTTAGTTAATAGTTATATAGCAAATGTGTTTCAATCTTCATGTTTGAGAAGGATAACTAAGAGCCCGTTTGGCTAAACTTATTCTGAACATCTTATAAGCTCTTATATCTAATAAGTTGTTTTAAGAGCTGATTTGTTGTTAAGTCTTATTTTTTTAAATTAGTTTTTGAAGTGTTTGGATAATTAGCTTACAAGTTATTTTTATTGTTTTTAAGATCTTAAACAATAATGTGCAATATCGGTACTTTAGAAACTAGAAAGAAAAAAAAAATATAAGCTATCCAACAACTTATTTTTTGAATTTTTAAGATCTACTTGAAAAAAAAAATTACCAAACATTTTAGAAGAGGTTATAGGCTCTTAAACATGTTATAAGCTATTTTTAACAGCTTATAAACTAAGCCAAGACGACTATGTTATGAGCTGCATCTTTTGTCGATACTTTTGTAGGTAGTTTTGTTTTTTAAACTCTATATCTTGAGGGCTGTTCCACCTTGATTGTTGAGCGAATACAATCGGAATGCTGAAAACGGGATTTACAAATGGTTACGGCCTCGTATTTTCATTGTACAAATTTCTCTGCTTAATTAGTGCTTTTAGTAACCAATTTGAAAATGGTGTGATATTGACAAGCAGTTTATGCTTTTTTTGTATCTTATTAACTCGACTCCGTTATATATATTGCGAACAGAGAGTGGAAACCAAAATCAATTCAGAAAGTTCTTTGAAGGAGATTTGGAGGAACTAAGCTTGAAGATATACGACAACAATCGAGAAGAATGGCACTCTAACAAGTTTGTCAGAATTGCTAAACTATCAATAAAGGGAATATCAATAAAGGGAATGTATTCTTACACGTTTTCTTGGTACTTACTATACTAGGAAGATTCACGTGCGTTGCACGTGTCTAGTTATATATTTTGTTTTTTTCGTATATTGCATTTGGTATGTTTATCTAAATTTAATATATTAGAAATCAACCATGGGATTAATTTTGCTTTTAAAAGTTTCTGAACGAAAATTATGATCAAGTCAAATTATGGAAATAATTTTATTGTGGGTAAAAAACGTAGCGTACTTGCGATTTTTGCAGGGATTGTTTCACTTGACTCCACAACTTCTAGATTAAGTCCAAGAAGAGACTATTATCAGACCTTCACAATCACATGGGTGCAAATGGAAGTTACATATGCAATAGGCAAAACATCATCATGTAATTTGCGTACAATAAAAGTAAAGATCCGTAAGCAAGAAGAAGAATACGAAATGGACGGAGTTTGAATATCTTTGCCTCGTAAGTAGTTAGTAGTTTCAATTAGTTGGTGTAGAGTTTTGCTACGCGAAAGTTTACGAAGGCATGGTATTGAAATCGGAAAAAATTATCCGCAACTTTTAGATTGAAATGTGATGCTAATGACATGTGTGAACTGTGTTGTCTCATGAGCTTTCATGAAGCCAATAAATAGTACAAACACATGAAAAATGTCAATAGCATGGCGCAACATTTGGTGCACTCGTTCCAATCTTGATCTTGACTTTTCAGACCCCACATTCGAAAATAAAACACAAGAATTTCTAACCGTCGTCGACGAGAATCTACAGCGATACCGCGGCGGCGGCGATCAGACGCTGCTGTGCTTGAAAGAATTCCACCTCTGATCTATACAGCTGCACCCTAGGAAGCCCATCATGAATCTGTTTCGCTTCTCGAAAAATGGATCCCGTTGCTCACATCATCTATGGGCGTAACGGAGTTTCGTCTCTCTATTCGCTCCACACCGTACCGCCGGGGTGCGTGCATTTGCCATATGTAGTTTTCGAAGCCGCCGAATCACTCAAACATTTGCGAATGGAAAGATTCGTATTCGACGAAAAACGCTGTTGAAAGAATAGCGCTCTGCAAGAATCTAAGATCATTTCATCCCGTAGATGCCTCCGTCGTCGGGGGGATAGTATTTTCAGATATTAATCGCAAGCTGCCCTTTGATTGAAACCCTGTGCGTCGACGGATTCGATATAGGGCTAAGAACAATTAAGATGAATGATCTTCGCAATCTCAAGGACTTTACTTTTACGGAAGACATAGGATTGTATCGCGGAGGAGACAAGTCGTCAGAGGAATTTTGTAGCATCGAAATCCATCTGTTATCTCTCGAAACCGTCAACATTAGTTACGGCAATGTTTGGTTGCACAAAGAAGCCAACTTTCTTGATCTCAACGATTTGTTTCTGCGAGGCGTGCGATCGTCATTGGTCAGCTTGTCGTTTTGTAAATTCCCGAGGCTCAAACGCTTGACTCTTTCGTACTGTGATGGACTGAAAGAATCCCGGATACTTATCGATGCCCCGAACATACTCTATTTTGAATACAGAGGAGACTTTGTCCCGTCGGTTTCTTTTGCAACAAATTCCGGCCGGGAGTGGAGGTCGGAGATACACCTAGCATATGGTGTGCCTACTACTACAAACGATGGTTCGTCTTCGTGGTTCCACAAGCAGAATGAATTGCTCAAGTCGTTAAGCCAATCGAAAATTTCTCTGAGTAATATATAAACATCCCAATGATAAAAAGGACATAATTCAAGAAAACATTGATCCGGTACACGACAAACCCGTTTCGGTGGAGAGCTTGCACTTGGCTTGTGATTCATCGTCCTTTCCAGCTCTTGTAAATGGTGCATTTAGTATTTGTCGTCCAAGAAGCATCGGTGACTGCCTCAAGGCACGGCTTGACGTATTCGTCGAGTTGGAGTATGCATGGAGGGGATGGGAGGAAGAACTCGTCGAGTATATGTGGAAGATTCTAATGGAAAGAGAGAGTGGAAACAAAGACGAGCCCTCGCGGTTGTTGTTTCGAGATTTGGAAGAAGCGAGCTTGGAAATTATTAAGAGAAGTATGTACAAAGATGAAAAAGAAGACGAATGGCATCAAGCACCTTTGTCGGAATGAATGTCTTCTATACCTTGGAGAAAGTCACTGTCGCTTCGTACTGAAATGGAGAGAAACTATGTGAGTCCTCTAAGCCTCGTAAAATTAACGACTATGCTTGTTTCTTTAATTTTTCTTTTTTTAAATTTTATTGTGGGTAAAAACATAGCATACTTGTTAAGCAAACAGCCTCGTAAACTCGACTCCTATATATATATATATATATATATATATATATATATATATATATATATATATATATGACAACAATCGAGAATGATGAACACTCAACACGTTTGTCGGAATCACTACTAAACTCTCTTTGTTACAACGATCGAGATTTAGTACAATAAAAATCTCGTTGTTTATAATATTGAAATATCGAAGTAATTTGATGCATTTATCGTTTTGGTCATCGTTTTAGTAGAACATTTGGTGATATTTACTTGCTTGTTTCTTGCTTTGAGCCTCTTATTTCTTGGAATTGTCTTCAATCTTAGTTATATATTTTCTTTGAATTGATTGATCGTTCATAAATAAACTAAAAAGAAAAATATTCTTATTTCTTCAGTAATTTATAATCTCCAGTGATGAGTACAACTGAATCGAAGTCGAATACGAATCAATAATTTATAAGAAACACCTTTAAATCGCAACCTCGTGAAATATACAGCATTCAAGAAAAGAAAAACAGATCACACCTTTTAATGGTAAAGGAAGAGGCAAGAAAATTGGTATGAAAAGATGACACAAATGTGCATTATAACTACATTTTTACGTTCATCGTTCGCCTAAACCTTTATATAATAAAAGAAAGAAAGAAAGAAAAAACGCAGACTGAAATTAAGAGAAAGCTAATATGCATTCACACACGGTTGGGACTTGCCCATATACAATGGTCGATTTTTCACATTTTCTGCATCCTATCTTCAGTTACTACTTGTTTTCAAGCCTCAACGTGCATATATCATCATTTATCCCAACCCTGCAGTTTTTTTTTTTTTTAAACCGCGTTTATATATCTGCTGCTTTTCCCATCACCTGATTGGATGATATTGTGTGATCCCGCGTTTTGGAGGCAATTTTCTCAATATGAATAGGACAAGAGACGAAGGTAAGATCTCCACAAGCTGCAAGATTAAAGAAACAGATTAATAAAAAGAAAAAAATAGTCAAAGACTTAAACATAACACAAATCATATAAAGAAATCTCTAAGCATACTCTAAAGAAGAGTCTCGAACAACACGAGTAGTAATGTTTGATTGTCGGAGTTGTTTGTTGTAATCATTTAACTTTATATATTTAAAATCAAAGGTTCAAAATTTCAATCCTCGAATATTCTACAAACATTTGCAAGTGGACAAGACCACAAAACCAAGAGGCAGAATACATAGATTATCCTCGATTTTGTAAAGCTAACATGATGCCGGTCCAATCTATAAATAAACACTCGATTTTGTCGTCTAAAAGAAAGAGACTTCACAATATATCAGTTTCTTCTTACTTTAATATTCATTAACAATCTTAAATTTGATATTTGATTATATCAGTTTCTAACACAAATCTGATTTTTAAAACAAATCCTTGTGTTTAAACTGAAAATAATAGAAGAAGATTCTAAAGTAGCAGAGAGAACAAGAAACTATTGAAAGGCTTCACTCAGTTTCGAACTTTCAACCACTTCAAAGACTTTTATGACCAACCACATAATTCACCATAAACAGAATAAAATGCCAGACAGATCATTTCAGGACATAATCTCAATCAAATAAGAAGACCTTAAAAAATTAGAACTGAAAACTCACCAGATAGTAAATGAAATTCAAAATAGGATGATCCAGAACATCTAGATCTGCAGCTGCCTCAAATGCATTAAAGCACATCTGTATTTACACAGTTGAAGGATAGAAGTCAGATGATGCGAGCATAACTAAAATATCGAGCCAAAAAAAACTGAAACTAGAAAGAGGATATAGATAGATAAGTACATATAACCATGATGCTTACTAGGCTACTATACATACTTTTTAGAGACAAATACGTGTATACATCAATACATGCATATAAATGCAGGGTGCGTGATGCAGAAATAACGAAAAAATATAGTTTCAAACCAAACTAGCCAACACCAGTGACACATTCGATGCAATCTTTTATTTATGCTCTCACTCCATCCACAAAAAATAAACTAAAGCTCTCATTGATGGGTACGGAGTTTGTGCCAGAATTGAAAGCTTCGAAGGTTTTCGTTAACCTTAACACATTTCAACTTTACGTTTTAGACAACTTTCTTGAAGTTTGCACCAATGATATTAATCACATTCATGATCAGTTACCATCAAAAGGTTGGATTCAATAAAATATAAATCATTCAGAATCTTCTTAGAATAAGCATGGGACTTACCATAATGCATCTCACGAGAAAACATGAAAAACATATTGTGGTAACATAGCCAACCTGAGTAAGCAAGAGATGAGAACAAACAAGTTAAAAATAGAAAAATATCAAACGATAAGAAACACAATCAGCTTACGGTATACCTCCTGTAGCTTCTTGCGCCGTCCTTTTGATTCCACAGGGAAACGCTGCAGCATTAAGAACAACCTGCACCACACGTCAAAGATCATTGTTAAAATGAATCCACAGGACAATCTTTCAAAGTAAAGAATTCATATAACAGTTCTACAAAACCCAAAAAAAAAAAAAAAGTGGTCTCTTCTTAACCTTCCAACCGCAAAGGAGATCTAAGATGGGAGGCAGGGTTATCAGTTAGTCAAATGTGCAAACCACGGAGAACTAACAAAGAAGTCATGTTTAGTATCAGTCAATTATCAGAGGGAGTGAAGTAAAATACCTTCCACCATAGAGAAGGAAACCCAAGGCTGCAAATAATGAAACACCTGCAAATTGACAAGTTCCTTAAGAATATTGGAAGCAGTAACACAATTAATGCATATAAACTAGGAAAACCGTTAAAGTAAAAACCTGCAAAGAACATTTTGGATAAAATCACAACTATGGGAATGGGCTTCCACCACAGAATTAACCACAGGATTATCTGCAACATATTAGAGAAATGTTTGTTACACATTATACAAAGCCAACAGAATTAACTACATGATTATCTACAAGACGATAAAAAGAAATGATTGTTCCAAATTACACATTCTTGATATAAAGAAAAATCCTAAATCTATATATTACAAGAAATTAGATGGCATGTGTTATAACTATAAGCAATCTACCTTCTCAACAAATTACATTTCCACGACACAGGACCATAACATACAGACAGCAAACACCTTTCTACAAGGGAAGAACATTATTATCTCTCACAATGAAGAAGATCAAAGTTCTTCTCACTGCTTGTCCTGAGCTAGACCTTGGAAATCATAAAGCCTTAAAAAACTTCCTGGTCTCTAATACAACTGTCTAGTCAGCATACAGATATTAATTGTTTTTATTTAATAAAGCATATCTCCTAGGGTAAATAATTGTTCAGTAGTTCTTACTGTTCATGTCTGGTCAGCTACAAGGATTAAGCTCCATAATTATGGTGACACTTTACCTAAATAAAATTTCTACTTCTACTGGAGTAACTTTGTTCAGAAGCCCCACGAAGAAACTTCTTTCACGAATAAACTATTAATTTCTGGCATACCTATTAACAGAATTACCAGGCCAGTAATTTGAAGGCCAAATATAAAGCCAACCCAGAACCATTTCAACTTGAACTCTAATTTAAGATAGCACGTGCAAGGAACATATCTGAGAAAACGGATCCGAATAATTGCACAACTACGGGATCTAGACAACCAGAGAATGAATGCATATTTAGAGAACTGACGTATCTAGTATTCTAACGATTAATCCTCATAAGATCCATTAACAGATCGATCAATCAGCTACGTAACAGCCAAATAGCTTACGTATAGGAGAAAGAAAAGGAAAACATTTGAACCGCATGAAAGATCCTTATCTGAAAAGTATTTCCAAAGCGCTTCATTTATTCAACTAAATCACACTTGCTAGAGATGTTCACCCATGTTTACTAATACCAGATTGCTGAACTCAGTGTGCTATATTCCTAAGATGAATGAATTGCCTCTCTAATTTTCAAATTTTAACGCGTCCAGACAATAAGACGTACTCCTTTTCATTCTAAACTGATTGAGACCTTCTTTCCTCTATGAACAATTTATAAAACTATCACTCAGTAAGTCGTCCTAAAGCACAAGAGCCCCCTCTGCTCCTTCCCAACCTCTACCATTCAGAAAACAGAGAGCAAATAAAAGTATCAGGAATATATTCCTTCATGGTGGAAAATCTAACTAATGTGCTGCATATTGTTGTTTTGTTTATTTCAGATGAAGTAGACTTATAAGGACAATAAGGTCAAAAAGCTTCCAAACACATCTTAGCCTATCTTCTAACATATTATAACAGAAGCAATAAACTCCAAATAAGGAGCAAGGATCTTTATCCTCTAACTAACTGAACAAATATGGGTAAGATTGTTCACCTGGATGACATATACGACACCGTTTATTGTGTAAAAACTAGGCCTCAGCCCATCAGTAGATACAGCACGAGCCTGCTCAAATCGTACAAAGTAAATCAGTCACCACCTTCAAAACCTATAGCAAAACAAATCCTAACAAAAAGACTTTGGACCAACCTGGTAATAAATTTCTGCCCAGAACAACACCAGCAACGCATACGTAGTGAAAAATGCAAGACTTGGCATATCAAGCAATATGTGTTGAACAATCTACCAAAATGCAATACTATTATCAGGATATATTAGTTATAAGATTTCAGAAAAATGGCAATCGTATGAATTAAAGTTGATACCTCAGGATTCAACTTCTGAACGTCTCGACGGAATGCAAATACCACACAACGAACTAAACAAACAATAAAACATAACATTATTCAGTTATTAACTCTCCAAATAGTATTTAAAAGTAAATTAATAGCCAAGAAAGAAATAATGCATGTGATACAGACCTCCATTGACCACGAAATTGAGGAAATGGAATACTTTTTGTGTCGTCCAACCATACTCGGGTACTCTCAATTGTATCCTAACCAATTGTACCTACAAGGAGTAAACGATGGAACCTTCCTTCCATTAATTTATGAAAGAGTTTTCACAATCTATGCATGCAAAAACAAACACAAATTATCTTCAGTTAACATTCACAATTCAACACATAAATCAAGGGTATTCAAAACCTGCAAGAAGCTCAACGGAATGCGTATAAACCCCTAATTCAAATGCAATTACAGATATTCTAAAACAAAATTAATCTTACAGGTTTGGAAACTAGTTATTCACTCTAAAAAAAGTCGGAAAATTTAAGACGGGTAATCGTAACAAACCTAATTAAAATAGTATTTTGCAATTTATCTCCATACCCTTCATTACGAATCCCTAATGCAGCGGGAAAAATGAACAGGAAAAACACCGGGTGTGTAAAATTCGAAAATATCAAACACAACCATCACAAAATTCACAAATCACAATCGCCGAAAGGAGGAACGATAAGCAGCAACATGAAAAAAAAAATTTGTAGAAAGAAATTTACAAGAGCAACAACGGCGACGATCCCATAAAGCGCGGCGAGGACATGGAATATACGATCCTGCCAGGCGGGCGACTCGTTAACTACGTCCCACCAACTCGTAGCGGCCTTAAGGCGGAGCGCCACCACGGCCGCCGCCGCCTCCACAGAAGGGCCCACCCCCTCCGCCACCATATCAGACGACCGCCCAATCGGATAAAATAAAAAAAGGGGGATCGGATTTATCAAAAAGCTTTCTTCCAACTGCAATCACGGGGGGGTGGAAGGGGGTGGAAGGAGATTCTCGATTCAAAAAGTTAGCAAGGGCGGTGGAAGGAGGAGCGGTGGAGAAGGTAGTTTATACGAAGCGTCAACACGTGGAGAAGAAGGCTGAGTTATGACGAGTTATGAATAAGGGAAACTCGGCCACCACTATTATTGTACAAATTCGGCATGTAGGCTGCTAAACACGTTTTACGGTAATACTAATTCCAATCTTGTTTTCTCGAAAAAAAAAAAAAAAAAATTCCAATCTTGTTTTTTTATTTATATATATATTATAAAAAAAATTAAAACCTAATAAACGTAATAATCTAATAATCATCGCACCATATAAAATTGAAAAGTAACTCAAATCATATTACTGGAAACTAATTAAAAAGTAATATATATTGTATAATAAGGAATGAAAATATATTTTCAGAAATTAGTGAAGTACAATAAATTTGAATATTTAAGATTACTATTATTTATGTATTGATTTCTTGAAATTTATAGATATGAATATATTCGATTAATTGGGTCCAACAACAATTACATGTTATTTATTAAATGTGTACCTACTGCAAGATAGTATTTTTAAATTTTTAAATATTGCATTTTCCAATAGATAATTTTAGTTGTATAATTTAACTATTTTTTTAGTTATTTCTTTCAATAAAAGAGATGATTTTAAGGTGCTAATTTAAAATGCAAATTAAATTGTGCTTGAGGAGGTGGGTACGTGCTACGTATAATATACTTTAGGGGTGTCAACTGTACTTGACATATAATAATATTATATTATATTTCTTTTACAGGTTTTTATGAGAAGTTTCTAATCAAGAACATTTATTAATCGAGGTTCAAGTGTTTTATATATTTAATCAATAAGCTCATCATTTTAACATAAAATGATAAAATGATAAACAAAGGTAAATTTAGTGTGGTAAAATTACAGACAACCCTCTAAACTCAATTCTTAATTGTAATCTTAATTTAATCCTGATTTCATCGATTTTGATCATAAAAAATCAATTTTGAGCATAAAAATTCAATTTTGACTTTTTCCAAACATTTTTTTTTTCTGCTATTTTTTTTCGTCACGGGAGATCGATGTCTTTTTCCCTAACCCTCCGCTGACCGTTTACAGTAACACTGTAAACACATTAATATTACTGTCTAGTATCGTAATATTAAATTTTTAGTGTTTTTTTGTTTATCTTTGTCGACCGGTAAACATAATAATTTACTATATTATACAATAATTTATTATGTAATATAGTGATTTTGTTGTGTTAATATTACCGTACTAGATAGTAATATAACAATATTGCTGTTTTCACGGGGTCAAAAAATGTTTCTGGAAAAAAAACGCCGTCGGAGACCGTGTTGGCCGCAGTTAACTACAATGGCGATCAAAATTAGAGTCAACATTAGGTTACGGGTCAAAATTGAATATTTGCGAAGGGGTTAAATAGATGAAATTGGAGTATATTAAAATGTGAGGGGATATTTTAGTCATTTACACACATATAGTCTTTATCTGGACTTTTTTGTAAAACAATTTGTGAAGGTGGGCCTACATATGAATAAGTTGCCCATCATTTAACTTATTTGCAAAATAATTTATTTGTAATACCCCTTCTTATAAAACATTCATAATGGAGGACCCAATTGGCTATTATTTAATATCGAGGATCTATATATAAATAATGAAATAACTAGGAGTGATGTGTAATTCTCAAAAATTGGAGGCTCAATTGGCTATTATTTCGCCGACCCCTTTTCCCTCTTTGTATTTAGGGCTCTTTCTTTCGGCAACCAAATTGATTTCAAAGACTACCGTATACATTATTCATGAAAATTCATTAGCAAAATTCATATTTTTTTCCTTCGAAAAATCGCCAATATATAGTTTTGGGTTATCTTAAATCGTTGGTAGACGAATGGAAATTGCGATTGATGAATGTTCCTCTATTGGATTGGGTGTGATGAGTACAGCTCCTCCAAGTATGGCTTCTTCTGCTTCGATCCCAATAGATTCTTCGAATATTGGTTTCCGGGTATGAAATTAACGTTCTCTCTCTCTCTCTCTCTCTCTCTCTCTCTCTCTCTCTCTCTCTCTCTCTCTCTCTCTCTCTCTCTCTCTCTCTCTCTCGTGTGTGTAATTTGTTTTCAAGATCTGACTTTATGAATTCAGCTTTTGAAGAAGCAGGGTTGGAAAGAAGGGACTGGCCTTGGTGTTTCCCAACAGGTTTGTTTCATATATACATACATACTGTTTTCAAAAGTTACCCTTTTTATTGTGGATTTGATATAATCTATTTTTTTAATTAGACTCTCTGCTAATATTAGGTTTTGTTTGCTTCATATGGGATTATTTTAATTTTTAATCTTGTGTGGGGTTTTCGTGTTAAAATTTACAAGGAAATAGAAAACGGATGAGTTGGTTGTACCTTTTCAGACATAGTTGCTAGCTCCTCGTATTGTTTTGCTTTTACAGAAATCTCGTCACCATTTGACGTCGTGATGATAGTGTTTGAGATTTTCTGTTTTATCGGTTCGGTTTTACGCAGTTCTTAGTGTAATGATGGGATTTTTTCTGGAACTGGTTGAAGTTCGATATCATGTAGAAAATAGTGATAAAAAAGATTCAAGACTTACGATCTCTCAATTAGTATTTTAACTACACTCATTATGTGTCTAGTTTGAGTATATTATGATGTCGAAATTTGTGGAAAATGTATCGAAATATTTTACTTGTATTACTGATATACATTATGACACGGCTTTTTCTAAAGTCGGGAAATTCTTTGACCAAATCCATGTGTAGTCAACTTAGCGATTTTCGTTGGTTTCGTCATTCTTTGGTGAGAACAGATGCCATTCAACTTGTTAAATTTCGAAAATAAATTGGTTAGCTATATTCTCTTACCACTGAACATATATATTTATTTTTCGTGCAAGTATGTGGATCTTATTCATTTACATTTTGCACACACGCTTATTATATGTTTGTTTAAATAGAATAAGCTCGTATGTACTCTCCTGACCGGTTTTCATTGTTCGATGCAGGGCAGGCTAGAGCCCATAGAAGCTTTCATTAAGAAAAATAAACGGGGTTTGGGAGCGGACAAACCGAAGAAGTCAACTGATCAACCGAAACCACATGATGGAGAAGATGCAAAAGTAAGTTTTGACTTTTCCTTGGAAGATTATTTTTGGTTTTTCGTTTAACTATGCTACTATATTTACTCTTCTGTAAAGCCTGAATGAATTTGTGTCACATGTTGTATGTATGAATTTGGGTAAATTACGGCCACCCCTGAGGTAAGGTTAAATTACGAAAAAACCCATCTTGTTTGGGTAATTTCAACCACCCTTGAAGGTAAGGTTAAATTACGAAAAGAAAACCCTCTTGGTTGGGTAATTTCAACCACCCCAACTATGAATTCCACGTCCATCCTTATAGAGGCAAATTCAACAATTTTGTGGAATGTTCTCTAGTTAGTAGTTTGTACTCGTTTTGTGCAAATATGTAGTTTTTGATGCAGCACAATCCGATATTTACAAGCCAAGAGACACATCTTGTGATCATCTTGTTTCAAAATGTGGAGCTCGAATCGGGTAAAACGGATACAAATTGGAGAATATTGAATATAATCTAGAAGATTTCACTAAATATGACTTGTGGTGAACGTGTAAGAATATTCATAGTTGAGGGGTGGTTGTAATTACATAAACAAGAGGGTTTTTTTTTTCGTAATTTGACTCAGAGGTGGCCGTAATTTACACATAGATTTAATATGCAAGTATTAATTAGGCAAAGATAATTAGATTATCACATAAGGACTTATATATAGTAAAACTAGCATAAGTTATCGACCGAATTAACAATTGACTTAGTGCAGCTCTAATTGACATAAATCATTTTCAGGTGGCGAAAAGTAAACCAAAGCGCAGGTCGAAAAAGATGAGGAAGATTGAAGAGTTTGAGAAGCGGTTGCAAGAGCAGGAATTCGATCGCAATTTTTTCAGGGAATTCTGGCCGGACAATGTTTGATTTTTTTTTTATTTTTTATTTCCTTGAGTAAAAGCTTTGGACATGTACATACGTTCGATCTAGCAAAAAACACGAGGTTGTACATATTCGAGTTTACCAATTTTTGTTTACGATATTTCTATTTGAATGCCGTGGTTATTACTTATTACAAGTGCTTCAAATAGTTTTATGATTCTGGTTTTTTGCTCTTTCATAATTATTTGAAAATAATACAATGCTTTCAACCAAAGGTAAACTTTAGCCCAAATTTTCATATAACACAATTAATTAATTAATTAATTAATTAATTAAGAGCAAATTACGGACATCCCTCAGGTAAATTATAACCACCCCTGATGTAAGGTCAAATTGCGGAAAAACCCTCCTATTAGGGGTAATTACAATTACTCCTCAACTATGAATCTTCTTACACGCCCACTCTTATGGTGTCAAATTTAACATAATCTTCTAGATTCCGTGATATGTTTTCTAGTATGTACTCGTTTTTATGCAAAAACACAGTTTTTGATGCACCACAATCTGATATATATACAAGCGAAAAAACACATTTTATGATCATCTTATTTCAAAATGCGGAGCTCGAATGGATAAAACATGTACATACTTGAGAATATTCCATATACTCTAGAAGATTCCACTAAATTTGACACTGCAATGGTGGACGTGCAAGAAAATTCATAGTTGAGGAGAGATTGTAATTACCCAAACATGAGTGAATTTTTTCGTAATTTGACCTTACTTCAGGGGAGTGTGGCGGTAATTTACCCTTTACTAATTGAACGAGAGTAAGAGGGTTTTTTTCGTAATTTAACATTACTTGAGGGGCTAATCGTAATTTGCCAATTAATTAAATGATTAAGCAAAGACACCCTAATAATTAGCAGCTTATATTTGAAGGAGACGACCGCCACAAAAAGCTTCCATTTCCGCCCAACACAAAAAAAAAAGAATGAGGAAAATATCGGGCCAATTGCTTTCGTCGAAGCCCATCTCACTCTCTAGGGCGGCGAAGCTCATCTCCCGCTTCGCCGCCGTCGATAACGGCTCCTCCCCCGTCGTCTCCTTGTACCTGCAGCGCACAGCCGACGCCTTTAATAACTTGGTCCAGTTCCACAGCAAGCGCTTGAGAACTAGCGATGTCGAAAGTAGTCCGGACCGGAAGAGGGCCCCCAAACCGCCGGAGGACTTGCCGGAGAGGAATTCGAATGGAGCAGCTGCGGAGGATTCGAACGGCGGCGCACACCCTAATTCGGTAGAGGTGACAACTGAGGAGAGGAAAAGGAAGAAGAAGAGCAGGAGTGATTCTGCTGTTGACGATTCGAAGGAGAGGAGCGGCAATAATCCCGAGGCGAATTCGTCGTGTGTGGATGAGGTGCAGAATGGAGAGAAGGGGGAGATGAAGAAGAAGAAGAAGAATAAAAATAAGAAGAGTAAGAGTGCTGAAGTTGGCCCGAAGGCGAATAGCATCGGTAATCATGAAATTGAAGTTGAATATATGCAAATTGAGGAGAAGGAGCAGACGAAGGAGGAGAATACGAAGAAGATAAAGAAGAAGAAGAGTCACTCTGCAGTTTGAGCGGTCGAATTCGAGGGAAAAAAGATCCGATTTTTAGCAGCTTCTGTGAGTTGTATACTATTCCATCTATGCATTGTGTGCTGGCTTATTTTAGATGTTCGATATCTGATTGGTTTTTGTTTTCCGGCTGCTGGAGTTTTTTGTCTTGGAGGGCACTTGGCCCATATATTTTGATTTTCTATTAATTGATATTTCTTGATATAACTTAATTTTCGCGTTGTTTCATTGTTATAAATTTATAGTCTTGCTCTTGGATATTCGTTGCCAGTTCAAAACTCGGTGAAATGGGAGATGGTCGATATTTGGTATGTAGATCGTAGAAGCTAAAGGGTGCATCAGCCCAAATTTCTTGTCATGCGATTAGTCGACTTTTAACGAATTAGTAGTACTACCCAAAATGTTGTGCAAGAAACTTTAATTACTTGGTAGATCTGTGACTTGTCTAATCTTGAAGCTGAAGTGATTACTTAGGAGTGGTTTCAGTTAACACAGTTTCGTTGGAATTGCTTACGGCAAGAAGAGAAATGCGCCCGTTTTCTAGTTTATGACGTCTTAGTAAAACTCTTATGAGGTGTTTTCTTTTCCTTTATTTCCGAGATAGTGGCATTGATCGAACATCTTCTTCATATACGAGACTTTGGAAACGTCGTATAATTTTCTTTCTTCCCTTTATTGAGGCATTGTCTTGAGAGGGAGAAGAGAGGTTATTCTGTTATCTTAAACACTCGTTGCCTTGAACTTCTTATTTATTGTTTATTATTCAAATGAATGAGTTATGGGAATATGATTGAAGTTCTTGTGCTGTTATCTTCTTACAGAAGTTACTTTTTCCGGGATAATCAATGTGTGAACGCAGTTTGTAGAGATGGGAATAATCTTGTGTCTGTATCGGAAAATGATACTTATTAGTTGGATGTTGGAACTGGTTGAACTAATATGAATCAATTAGGGATTTAATGGAGGAAGGTTTTGTTTGCGACAAACTGACAATAGAACGATAAAGTATAGATTAGTAAATTACGAGTAAATAATATTTCTCCCTTTGCGTAGATTTCTTTCCGAGTATGAATCTAAAGGGAGTGAAATACAGAGCTGTGGTTTGTGATTTTTATACTTTTTAATGAGAATTTCCAGCCTGCGGTTGTTCTACATGTTGCAGGGATGTAATTGAGTTTTTTAAGCATGAAATTCTTTTTGTTGTGTGGAATTACTGTATAATGTAATATTCGATTTATTAATAATCTGGTTAAAATAATGTTTTTGATTCGGCCCGATTTGGAGACAATGTGCTAAATTTATAAGATAATACATATGTCATATATATCATATTCCACATATAAATCAATGTTACCTCTCTAATACGGGAATGCGTATTTATAAATCAAACACCCCCTTGCCGTTAGTTTTTTTTTCCAATTTCCGTTAGTCAAACACTTTGATCGACAATTGCAAAGTCATATTGGCTTTTTATTTACGAAAAACTCCAAAAAAATTCTATATATAGGTTGTTTAGTTTTGATAAATTTTTACCTGATTTCATCATTTTTTCAATCCTTCTTCTTTCTATTTCGTCATTTGTTTTACTATTTTCAGCCATTTTTCGTAAACAAAAAACTGAAAAGTTGAATAAATAAGAATAAAGCTTTGCAGATTATGAATATAAAACCCATAAAAACGAAAACTAAAAGCCCTAAAATCTAAAAGAAACTATAAAATTGGAATAAAAACATTATGAAAGAATTGTAAATTAATAACAAAGCTTTTCATATTATAATGGAAAATGTCCCAAACAAAAAAAACTGAAAATCCTTAAAATCAAGTACTAAAATCGACAAAAATCATAATTTGTCCTAACGCTAAAAATTGTCAACAATCTACAAAAAAGACATCTAAAAAAATTTAGGGATTATATCATATATAAACCGGGGTAAAAGAGTCATTGTACAAATTTAGCACGGTTAACCATTGGCCGGTAAATATAGGGTGTGTTGATATTTTCTATTCATCAGGGGAGTAAATGATAACTTTCACATAGTACAGGGGTCAAGATAAATTTTACTGAAAAAATTATACTGGTAGTAAACGGAAAATTGTAGCTGTGGGGGCAAAAAGATAAGGTTTAAAAACTATGAGGACCATCAACAAATTACGGAAACATAGTTGGCTTCTTCGAGGGCAAATTTGTACCTTATGCATTCTTCAATTTCCCCCACAACCCAAATTCAACACTAGACGCAGCTATTACCGCCGCCGCCGCCGCCGCCACCACCACGCGCAGCTATTGCCACCGCCGACGACACCAGCCCCCCAACAAGCACCTCCATACGCGCACACGTAGCAATCCTCCATGGCAGATTCACGTAGAGAGAGAATCAAGGAGGAAACAGTTCGGAAAGCAGTAAACGCCCTCCTCAAATGGAGGCAGAAGAAGCTGCAATCAAACTCCGACCACGAAGAAGAAGAAGAAGAAGAATCAGAAGGTGATGATTTCATATACCTCTCACTAACCCTAAAAAAAGTGCCACCAAAAGCCCTAACTCTCGCACCCCACCGTATACCCCTCCGCCACTCTCTCCTCCCCGAACACCACTCCACCTTGAATCTCTGCCTCATCGTCGACGGCAAAAAAGTCACCGCCGAATCCGCCCTCAAGGCCCTCGCAGCCCAAGGCGGCGACCCCTCCGTAAACCAGGTTCTCAAGCTTTCGAAGCTCAAATCGGATTACAGGTCCTTCGATTCAAAAAAGCGCCTCTACGATTCGTTCGACGCGTTTTTCGCGACTGAAAATGCTGTCCCTCTGCTCCCCAAGGTTTTGGGGAAGGTTTTCTACAAGAAGAAGTCGAAGATTCCTGTGCCGGTGGATTTGAGAGCTGATTGCAGTAACTTGGAGGAGGAGATCGAAAGTGCTTGCAATTCGAGCTTGTTGTGTTTGAGCGCCGGGACCTGCAGTGCGGTGAGGGTTGGGAGGTGGGGGGTGACGGAGGGGGGTGAGATTATCGAGAACGTGTATGAGGCGATCGATCGTGTGGTTGAGATTGTTCCGAGGAAATGGGCTGGAATTAAGTGCTTTCACTTGAAGTTTTCGGATTCTTTGGCACTGCCTATTTACGAGTATTTGCAGCCCGGTGGTGAAGACGGTGGATCGAGCTTGGTCGGAGAGAAGAGGAAGAGGGGAGTATTGGATTCTGCAAGAAAGAAATGATTGAATGACCGAAAATAGAAACGAAAAAGAAGTTGCAGTATCTCATTCGATTGCATTTATGCAATTCTTGTTTGCATAGATCAATCGAGGAGTGAATGGCATTCGATGGGATTGGACTTTTAGTTTTCGTTGTGATTTGCCTTTTTTCTTTTTCTTTTTTCGTTAATTTGCTATAGGATTTTGGATGGTTGGCTCGTATTTTTGGATAGTAGTTCATTGATTGAGAAGAAAACTAATACAATGCAGGAGGACTAGCCAGTACTGAATTCGTTACGCTGATAGTGCTATTCTCAGTTGTTCTAATTATAAATCAGAATTCGAATATGAAGTTCATGTTTGTTTTTATGATTATGTTCTTGTCCGAATCTGTTGCGCTGATAGTGTGATTGTAGCCAGTATGTATAACGCGTGAAAAAGGCCGATAATTGTTTCATTTTTTGTTCGTGAAAACCCTTTTTTCGTTTTTTTTTTCTTTTTTTGGTTGTCGATTGTGAAAGACCTAGAAAGTAGAACAGTCATGTCAGATTTGGTTGGAAGGATGAAACTTGGTACCACTTGTAATTAATAAATAATCATAATGAATAAATACAAAGTATATTTAGGGTGAAAAAAATGTATCAAAAATTGAGGGTTGATTATATAACTAAGAATATGACAATCAGAACTACTACTGCATCATTGAATTGGATAAATGATAAGAATTTATGTGTGGAGAAAATCATGCAGAAATCTCTGATGTGTTTTTAGCACTTTCTTTCACCATAGTCTTGACAAATAGTTCCCCAGCTCTGTATGAAGATCGAACCTAGAAAGGAAAAAACAAAAACCAGAACCAAAAATTCATGACCGAGTTACAGAGGTTAACGAAGAACACAACTAACTATGAAGTTCTTTTATGTAATAAGTCCAACATTCCAATAGAAAGAAGGGTCTTATATTAAGCAAGAACAATCAATGGTGATTTGGGTTAGAAAAGTTTACCAAGGGTCCACTCGCGACATAACGGAAACCGATTGATTCGCCGTAATCTTTCCACAAGGCAAATTTTTCAGGGGTAACATACTCCTTCACCGTAAGATGCAGTGGAGTAGGCTGCATAGTTAGAATGGATCGTAAGAATTTGACGTTAATGCTCGGATAGGCTTTAGATTATAAGAACTTAGGAAACTATAAAATCTCGAACAAAATTACAAGGCCTTGTCATAATGGAAATAGTAACAAATAGATAAAAAGACACACAAATATAAGAATCTGATAGACAAGAATCGCGCTTGTACTTCCATGTTTTTTCCAAATATCATTTATTTACTCCGAGAAGTATGTATTAAGAAAAAGTAATGCACATTAGGTCACCTGTAAATACTGTCCTAGCGTCAAAATGTCAACGCCAATGGCTCTTAAGTCAACCATGGCTTCCTTTAACTCATCGTCAGTTTCACCGAGTCCCAACATAATAGACGATTTTGTTATCATCCCTTCCTTGCTGAGCTTTGCATGTTTCAGCACAGATAAACTCTGCTCGTACCTGTAACATTTAACCACAAAAGGATTGTCACATGTCAATGTAATTGGAGACTCGTCTCGTTTAGAGGTCCGTCCAGCAAAATCGAATAAGAATTATCTGAAGACAAAATGCTAAGCGGTCAAAATCAGTTTTGAGTGATCTTTCATCTACAGTTATATAGGTGAGGTAGTCAAATATCCAAATTTAAGGCGCTTCGATAAAATGACCAGATTTATTGGAGCATCGACTTAGGATTGTTAAAACATCTCTCCACAATTTTTTTTTTTTTAAATTGACGAAATGAAATTAGCGACAACTAGTAGCCACTTACCCAGCCCTAGGATCTCTAACGATCCGCTGTAGTCGTTTCACAGTTTCGACATTGTGAGCGAAAACATCTAAGCCTGACTGGACGAGAGTGGATACAGCCTCTAAGTCACCTCGAAAATCAGACGTCAAACACTCGACCATGATTTCAGGGTTGAGTCTCTGCCAAAAATAACAATACTTCAAGTTAGATTAGATGTACTCGTTATAGTAATCTTAGCATAGATATGACATATGTGTTTCATGTTCGTGAAACATTAGTATGAAAAATAGTTACAAATTTTTCAAGAGCTAGTCATAAATATTTATCTCGTGCATCAAGCATGTAATGTATCTCATTTAGATGAAAAGGAATTATCCAATCACAGAAACACGAGAATAACCTTCATGGCTTTGACTGTTTCGGCAAAATGACCACTACCACCATCAGGTAGATCGTCTCGGTCAACACTGGTTAGAACAATATAATCCACACTGAAAAAGAAAGAAAAAAAAACAATCAATGCAACATGTACCAATACGTGGTGTCCTCTAAAATGATTCGTCGAGTAGTCACAGTATAAACGGGGAGATTCTTGTATTTGCTAGAAGAGATGTAACATTTCGAGTGCGATATGCATTAATCTATTAACAGTGAAAATTGAGATATTGTAGTAGCTACCACCATCAAATGCCAAAATATGCGTATCTTCCTCTAACACTAAAAAGACGTTAATAGCCCTTTTCTTTGGCCATTAAATTTCGGACTCAAAACAAGAACTCCGAAGCACAATCTACATAACTATACAATATTAGTATTGCTCGTCATCGGAATTTGACAGTGTGTGCATTGGCAAATTCCTGTAAGCACTCCTCACCACCTATCTATCTTCTCTTTCTATCTTATTCCCGCTTGTTTCCTCTTAATTCCGATAAGATCTGTTATTGCCAATCCTTTCTCAATTACAGTGGCGATAAATCAACCCATTTACCAAAAACTAAAAAAGTACTACTATAATGAAAAAAGTATGAGTTGGACTATTGACTCAATATAGATAGATATCATCTCACGAACTCTAAATGCAATATTGACAATACGACCTACTCAAATGTGTAATAAACTCTTCAAAACTTTATCCCCCATAAAATGTTCGATGGAGGAGGTGTTATAAGCTCCTTTCAACTGATAGGCAATCCCTCACATAATCCAATTTACGATCCCCGACTCATTCCACAAGCCCAAATCTACCCAAATAGACCATGTGTAAATCCTTGGTTTTGCCGATTAATACGATTATGCACTAGCCAGCTTACTTACAAAAAAAAAAAAAGCAAGTATATAAGTTATTCAAGGTGTTCTAAGTTCGGTTTCCGAATTGTCTAACTATTACAGCTCTGGTTAAGATATTCTTGCTTGTTCTATGGCTTGTCTGCAAACTCATTTTCAAGAAGATCTAAATTCTCCCACAAAATGCATAACCAAAAACAGAAAGCAAAAGAAGAAACTAGTACCCCCAGCTGGCAATGGCCTCGGCGGTGTTGTAAGGCTCCATGGGATCAGGAGGCGCCGGGTTGCGACTAGTCTTGACGGCGCAGAAGCGGCACCCCCTCGTGCAGGTGTCCCCGAGCAGCATGATAGTGGCGGTGGCAATGCCGTCTCCGCCGCCGTTCCAGCACTCCCCAATGTTGGGGCACTGCGCCTCCTCACAGACGGTGTTGAGTTTCAGCCTCGACAGAGACTCCTTCACCTCCTCGTACTTTTCCCCCTGAGGCGCCTTCTGCCGGAGCCACGCGGGCTTCTTCGCATTCGGGTCCCGGCCCGTGTGAGGGCCCACCCCACCCGGGTAGGGCGGCCCGACCCGAACCGCCGCCGATTTAGACTCGAGCTCGAGGTGCGATTCGCATCGGGCGGTTGAATTCAGTAATTTGGGCTTCCTTGTAGGGTTTTGCGGAGGTCTGAAGGTGGGGAATGGAGATGGGGGAGCTTTGGAAATACATTGGTGGATCATTTTTTTTATTTTTTTTTTATTTATTTTTGGGAAAAAATTCTTGATGCGAAATTGGAGAGAGTGGTGTTGTAATTGGTGATTATGAATTTTGCAGCGGCGGAGGAGTCGAAGAAGTTATTAGTGCTTCCGCCATTGGAATCTCCGTCGGCGGCTTAATTCAACTGCCGTTGGACTGACCCACCTGTACTTAGGACTGTTGGAGCGTTAAGTTTAGGGTAAATTACACCCACACCCCTGATGTATGCTTAAATAACTTTAAGATCCCTATTGTATCCGATAATTACATTCACCCCTGAAACGTAGTTATAAACTCTAATGGGACATGCTTTGGATACACTATTACGAAGTGGTGGAGACAACAAAGAGTTATTGGTGATTTAAGAAATATTGGGGGAGCCATGTCACCCAATAACTCCCCATAGCTCTATGTTATTTCCACCACTAGGTAAAAGTAATAGTCCATTAGAACACTATCGAAATAATGTATCCAATGCACTATCCCGTTAGAGTTTCTAACTACGTTTCAGGGGGTGAGTGTAATTATCGATACAAGAGGGATCTTAAAGTTATTTAAGCATACCTCAGGAGTGTGAGTGTAATTTACCCTTAAGTTTAATTGTTTTTTTTTATTTTGACCCGGCATTTATACCTTTATTCAATTTTAACCCCCATGATTTGGATATTATGATCTATTGAAATTGGGGTAATTTACGACAAAACCTTAGGTAATGTCAAATTACGAAAAAGAACCCTTCTGCTAGAATAATTATAGCCACCTTCAACTATAAATCTTCTTACACGTTCATTGAGATATCAAATTTTGTGGAATATTCTATATTATGTTGAATATTCTCCAGTTTGCCCGTTTTACCACATTCGAGCTCCACATTTTGAAACAAGATGATCATTAAATGTGTCAGGAACTTCATTTTTGCACAAAACGAGTACAAACTAAATTTAGAAGATTATATTAAATCTGACAACATTAGGGTGAACGTGTAAGAAAATTCATACTTGAGAGGTGGTTATAATTACCCAAACAAATGGAATTTTTTTTCGTAATTCGAACTTCCCACAAGGGGTGGGCGTAACATATCCATTGAAATTATTTGCAAAATGGTTCAATTGAGATGTAGTTGATAGTTTGGTTGCTTTCGTCTGTAGTGAGTTCATCATTTGTATTTTATATTTTTTACTATTTTTCTTTTGGTTTTGCTTTTAATGCAAATATCTGTAGTGAGTTCATCATTTGTATTTCAGAGCTAAATACAGTTGATTTATAAACTAAAAAACCACAGTTAAGGTAACTCAATCGCAATTACAGCACGCTCGAAAATCGAGATCTCAATTATTGAAGAACAATCTGCTCCAAAGATTCCGTTTGGCAAAATTCGATGTAAACATCAAAGCTAAGAAGACCCCTCATAGTCCAGCAGCAACAAAAATCATAGAAAATCTTACAAAACTTTTTCCTACAAGGTATCGAACAAAATAACTGCAAACATCGCCTAGATTACCTTTATCAAGACGAACGAGACGATTCATCGCTTGACTCCGGTGCATCTGTGCCATCGATCATTTTCTCTAGTGAATCAAGATCGCCGGCTTCTGAAACAGCGTGTAGACGAAGCTTCTCAGCATCTTCACTGAAAAAAAAGGAAAAGAAGAAGACGCATGTTATTAGCACATATTGCGAATCGCGCAGAGTATGTTTGTGAAAATTTTAAGGAAAGATACTTACTCTGCAACCCCAAATATCTCTTTAACGGTTAAAGAACTGTCTTTTGACCCGAACTCAGGCAGCTGCTCCATCAGACACAAAAGTATTATTAGCCAATGTGTTAATAAAATAAGGTTAAGAAATAATTAGCATATCACTTAGGTTTATACGGTTTTTATTTTCTAAGTTCGGTAAACCTAGCCCTAGTATTACACCCTACAGCCCTAGCCCTGGCTACAACGAACCGAAACATGGATTGGACCGTTGGAGTTTACGAAAAAGCCCTTACGTAGAAAATTTCCCGCTGTTCTCTCGGCATACTAAAAAGGGCTTATTTCAAACCTTTTCCATTGTTCTGTTGACGCAGAAAGAAATGAGTGTGCATAGATATGAATAATTTCGTAAGTTCCATCCTTCTCCAAGAAATCAAAACAGTTAGAATATAATTAGATTGTTCATCTGGCAAAACATGGTATCAAGATCGAGCGGTGCGATGAAATTGAGTGAACATTCTAGTTCAGAAGGCATTGTTAAGGGAGCAAGACATTCAACTTTGTTGAAGGAAACCTACTCATTCTTACACTTCTAACAATCCTAAGACATATTATATATTCCCAGAAAAAAAAGTGTTAGATAATATATATATATATATATATATATATATATATATATATATATATATATATATATATATATATATAAACACAATCGTGTGTGACTAACCTAATGAAATGCTATAGTAAGTAGAGAGAAGAACCTTTACCTCAGACAAATAATAAACCTTCCCAAAAAGAGCTTGCACGGCAAGTTTTCTTTTGAAACCCGTTTCTGAATATCCTGACATATCCATTACCACCGGACCTGAAAAATTCATGCATGCATGTTACAAGCTAGTAAAACATGTCTCAACGAAACTACTGTTGTCATAAATCTATTTCAAATTCCACTTGAGAATTCACTCATTCATAGTACTAATTCTGCAAATTTATACAATTTTAATACAAAACAAACATTGGAAGAGCATGAAAATATCATTCGAGCTACCTTTGTCTTTCACTATCCTTCTTGAAATCTCATACAAAATGACAGCTACTTGAGAATCATCCAACATTAGTTTTTTCCTGAGCTGGATTAAGTTAGATATCAAATCTGGATCAAATGGCTTCTCGTTCAACACATAGCGAATGTATTTCCGTAAAATCTCCTCCGTGTCAAAACCTGTCTGGAAATATAGCAATGTGAGACCAAGACTACTGCACTTATGAAACAAATTCGTTTATACAAAAATCTAGATCCATGAAAGTTCGTATAAATAATCAGATCACATGAAAATCACCTTAAGTCATTGCAAGGCAAGGTCCAATAATAAAAGCAAGTAAAGGATTTTATTATTCTTAAGTATGGTTGTTCATGTATCAGGTCGGTTGATTACCCAACCAACCGACTTTTACTAACATCCAACACTATTATGTGCCCGGCTTTTATAGGTTGGGTAACATATGGCAAATATAGAGGCATGGGTTGATTGCAGTATTGTAAGCCATTTTTTGTTATACACATATTCAAATATTGTATTTTTTTAATTTAGTATTAATAGTTTTTATTAAATATACCTTCTTGTTTTTAAATAAATATTAATGGCTAAATAAATTATAAATAATTAACTAATTAAAATTTATCAAACAAAGTTATACAAAAAAAAGTTTATTGGCTGAGTATTATCAGACTTTTTAAGATTTCAGCAACTACCAAACAGCCCACCTATACATTGGTCGGTTGAAATTATCGGCCCGACTTCATGGGTCGGTTGGTGGTTGATTTTCAGCCATGATTTATGGATTGAAATAAGCCGGTTATCTGAGTAAAAACAACCCATGAACAACCCTATTCTTAATCATATCAAAATAAATGGTGAATTTAATTTAAATTGGTTTCACAGTAAAATTCTAGGGAAAATGAAGAATGTTTTTGTAATTGTTGCTTCTAAACGATGATACGAAGAACGGTTGATTTTGGCCTTTTGAGTGCTCAGCCCAAATACTTATTCAAAAAATCACCAAAAGTAAAATAAACTATTTAGTAAATAGTTATAACAGGTCATACGCATCTAAGTCTACAACAAAGAACTTATTAATGATTCCTCGACTAGATCAAGATCAAGGTTTTAAGGCATGTTTGCGATATAGTATAACTCACCTTTTGCATCAGTCCCTTTAAATCTGATTGGTCCACTTCATTCATTCCCTTCTCGAACAGCTCATCTATTGACTTGCATATCACAACATTTTTATTGATCTGAAAAAAGAATTGCCTTTTGTCAAGTAACTAATCATACGATAAAATTGTTTTACAGAGAATTATGATGACACAGTACGATGAAACTTTATTACGATAAAATACCTTCGGATAAAAAAAGTGAATTTAAGTTTGACAACTGCGAGTTCCCCATAATACGAATTTAGTTCTTCGGTTTAAGCTTAAGATAGTACTAGTTATAACTAATGCCAACAAATAAACACATTCAAACAGCTTTGGGAGACCGAGTGGAGGCTTTGCAATGGATTTATATTTGTATTTCATGTGTTCACGTGATAGAAATCTCAGTCCTCATGCACTATCAACGAGTATAACACGATCGAGGCACAACAAAATTACTCTTACATCGAGCTTGTTAAATGATTACATGATAAGACAGAGACCTCGTAAATTTGAGCTATTTGTCGAATTACTATGGTAAATTTCAAATCATTGGGTTATCTGATATCTTTCCCTCAAATCCTCACTTCAAATCCAAATCATTCCAACAAAACCTAACCTTAGTAACCTAATTCTTTCATCCAAATACCCCTAATATACAAATTCAAAGCATTGTATCTATCATATGTATTGAATTGGCCTATTAAAAAAGGGCAAGGTAATACGAACCAGCTGGCGGCGTTTCTCCCTCGGCGAACCGAATTTGCGGACGGTCTTAACAAAGGCAATGACGAAAGTGACGCCGAGATAAGCCAACGGCACGGCCAAAACCCACGGCAGGGAGCTCCGGCCAACGCGTGGGCCAGGAATTGCCTGAGAGACGGAGCCGGTGAACTCGACCAAATCCAGAGCCTTCTCCTGAATCCACGGCAAATCCTCCTCCACTTCCTCCTCCTCCTCCGCCGCCAGCTGTTCCTTTTTAGTGGAAATGTTGCTGCTCTTATCGGAGTTCGGCAATGCTCTGGCTAAAATTGGGCGGGAGGGAGAAGAGGATGATAGGGAAAACGATAATGGTGAGGAGAATTGAGAGATGTAGTTGCGTCTGTGTTTGGGGAAGAGATAATTATCGACGTTTTTGGAAGTGTAACAGGAGCAGCAGGTAGCGTAGAGGCTGCCGGTGGAAGTGGCCATTGTCGGTGGAGATTTCTGAAGCTGGAATTGGAAATTGGAGTGTGTTTGTAGGATTAGTTCGGCGGCGGCGGCGGCGACGGCGGCTTTGGGGTCTGGACAAAAGCTCCGACCGGGGCGATAAAGGCAGAGAAAGGGCACACCTACAAATAAACAATTTCTCATTTTACTTGCTCTACTATTTGTTATATAATGACTTAATTCCAATTTACACCCTCAAGTTATCCTATTTAACACTTTGTACACCAAAAATTAATTTATAGTATTGTCACTCCTTGAACAACATTAATAAAGTATTCACAATACACCCGAATTTGATTTTGTAAGAGTTAAGGGAGGGTAATTAGGGTACAATATTTCACATCAAATTGTTCATTTTCCTCAACCCTTTATCCTAATTTTGGATACACAAAATGTGAAAAGAAAAAGGAAATCTAATTAAAATTATTTTAAAATTATATTTTCTTATAAAGAAGTAATTTTCTCATAAAAAATTACCACGAAATTATTCAATAAGTAGGGCTTACACGGAATTGGTAAAAAAATAAATTAGCTCAATGGCGGAGAAAATTAAAATTTAAATCACCACTTTTTTTTATACGTGTATATGATGTTTGTGACCGTCGTGATGCATATTTAAGATTACGAACTTACATTAAAATATAAAGGTATTAATAACATTATTAATTTATTAATATTTCATCCATTTTAAATTAACTTTTGTCTTATATATATTATTTTTAATATAATGTCACTTTAAAGTTCAAATATTTTTCTTTTCAGGCTAGCATGCTTCTAAGTTAATGAAAATATAACTAGTAGAGAGATAAGTAACAATTAAGAGTCTGTTAGTCTCTGCATTTTCTCTAAAATTTATGTATATTTATTAATTTTGTAAGATACTCTCTCCATTTCTTATTAACTGTCGTTTTTAGCTTTGCACGAGTATTAAAATATATCAATAGGTGTCTGTTGATTTAGGAAAAACAAAAATATTAAAAAAAACTAAAATAACCTCGATCATTTAATATTGTGATTAAAGAGACTTAATAATTATAGTTGAATTAATAAAGTTGAAATAAGAAAAAAATGCATTTAATGCAGTATTGAAAAACTAAACTAACAAATTATATAGGCAAAAATATTTAAAAAAAAAAAAAAACAAAAAAAATAATTATTATAGAACAAATGGAGTAATTTGTAACCGTGGGATGGAGGGAGTAGTAAAAACGTTATTTAGTAAAACTTGATAGGCCAAAATGCAATATAAGAAAAGCCCATTTCGGTTCCGGGCAGCGGGTCCTACCCGCTTCCGAAAACGGTAACCTATATATACACACACAGTAAATAGTGCTGCCCAATGCTAGGGCTCAGGGTTCAATATATTTATTTAGCTATCTAAAAACATTCTAAATCTTCTTCTTTCTTTCACCAGATGTTCGTTCGATTGTTTCGTTGAGCCCCAATCTTTTCGCCGACGGCTCAAAATCCATCTCAATTATCTATTTGTACGCAGAATTTCAATTCAATCAATCGATTGCATGTTTGTCTGAAAAAGTTTTTGTATCGCCATTGATGTAATGTATTCGTCTCGAGGAAGCAATGGCTATGGCCAACAACAACAACAACAACAACCCTATTCTTCCGAATCTTCCTACACCCCTCAAAATGTACGATGAGATGAAACCCCCTCTCTGTTTTTTTTTTTTTTTTTTAATTTTACTGAACGAATTTAGGTTTTGATGTGATGGTTAATGCTGCCGTTTGAAGGTGTGTTACGCTGTGTTTATCTATTTGACTTTTTTTTTTTTTTTTGTTTTTGTTTATTTGGGTAGGTGGGAGCTGCAAACCTAATTGGGGGAGGTCTTCAAGAAACAGATTTGAGTGGTTACAGAGCTCATGGGCATGTTCATGGGCGCCCATCGGCAGCAGCTGCGGCAGCGGCTGTGCCGACTCCACAACATTACGCAGGGCAGTATAGTTCGCTATATGGTTCTGCCACACAGCAGGTTGTTTTGAGCCCTGATTTTCCCGACTTTTTTTTCGTCTTTAGAAACAATATATATATATATATATATATATATATATATATATATATATATATTTTATCAAATTCCGTGTTTTAAGCTCTTATGATTTGCAAACATACATTTATCTCTTGTTGTGATTAGAAAAAAATGTGTCTTTACTCCAATAGGAACAGATAAGTTATTGAACAAATTAAGCTTATCAATGTTTTGAATAAACTGATGGAATCTTTCGTGTTTTTGTGGCTGGGATTTGGTTAGCTTTTTAGGAATTGGGTTTATAACCTGTGAATTGTGCAGTAATGCGCAGAAAATTGCTTTCACATTGGACAGCTGAAGGGTTCTCATCTTCTTCTCCTTGTATTTTAAAACAATTGTTATTATATGTTAGGTTTTTTTTGGGAAGGAAAAGTTTTCAACGCACAACTAATTTCATTAGTAATATCTTGCCTTGATTTCTAATGAATTATGAATGTTGGCAGTATGTTAAGATGTCTGTCTCCTTCAGTTGAAATGATTGATCAAATTTTCATCTGTTGCGACTTGTGAAACCTAGGAAGCCATAGCATATATTTTGAATGTTGGGGATATATGTACTCGTCCAAGTGAACACAACATTTTTGGATATTAATCTTCTGGTGACAGATTTCTCCATGCTTATGCAGTTTGATTGGTATATTAATTATTATGTAAGACCTGTGTTAATTTGTAATGCCTGTTCTCTGTTTTGCTTTGGGAGTATATTGACTCCAATCCATGCATTGAGTCGGAATATCTATACTTGGTTTTTATCATATTCTTCATTAGCTCTAGGATCTTTTCTCTCACTTAAATTATCCTTTTAATATTACAGTTTTTGGTTTACAAAGCTTTAAAATGCAAGTCCATCATCTGATGATTGTTTGACTCTTTTCAGATCTCTCCAATTGGTGCAAAGGGGTCTGTAACAAATGCTTTTGAAGGCCGGAGTAATTATGGATCATCCATGCCAGAGTCACCTAAGTTTGCACCTAATGAGTATGTTTCATCATCAAGCCGTGGCTATGGTCAGAAAGTTGATCAGTTATATTCTGATAAGACATCTGAGTATCCATCAGTTGACAGACGCCAATACGGTGACCGCCACAGTGCATATCTTGGGAGAGATTTACCGGGTGATACAGCTAATAGATATGCGGAGTCAGTTGCTTTTGGGCGTGAACATCAGGTATGGGACCATGTGATGTACATCTATCTGTAAGCCACTTATGGCATATGTTTCATTTCCTCTGTTCTGTGCATGTGCTTTTTGTTATACCTTTCAAATGAGATTTGTAATTTTATATGGAAATAGTGATTCTATATTTTTTCAGTCTATTTATGACCGTTTGGAGCAAACAACAGCTTCTCGACAAGAAGAAATGCTAAAGGCTCGTGCACTGCATGCTGCTTCTGTCGAAGGAGGAGCTAGGTACGTTAAGCTGATACAAGTTTTAATGTATATGTGTGACATTAGTCTTAGTAATTTGCTTTTTTAAAAGGTAGGTGTCAATATTTTACTTAATCAATCGTGCACCTATAATGAGCATAAATTCTTCTGAAACTGAACATGGCTTATCAATGAATTTCTTGCTTGAGTGGGGACTTGAGGGAATACTGAGTTCTGTGACGGTGGACTTGCGCGCACAGCATTCTGTGTAATTTCATTAAATAGTACTCTATCTAGTGCAATGAGTAACAACAAATTTCTGGCAGACAAGCTGATTATCTTGCAGCAAGGGCCACAGTACGTCATCCTGCCCAAGATCCTATCACCTATGGTGGGAGAATCGACCCCGAATCACTTAACTTATCAATGTTAAGTGGCTCTTCGTATATCGGGAAACATACTGCATCAATCTTAGGAGCAGCTCCACAGATTAGTGTTGACGATCTCATTTATGCTCCCTCAAATCCTGGCTATGGAGTGAGTTTGCCTCCTGGTAGGGATTATGGAACTGGGAAGGGGCTTTATGGAACTTCACGAGAATCAGATTATCCAACTAGCATGTTAGGACCTGCAAGTCATCTGAGGCTCGATGGCCGGAAAGATGACAGAGCAACATATGGCAGGGAACTGGAACTGGAACGTAGAGAGAATGATAGGGATTACTTGCGTGAGCGAGAGAAAGATAGAGAAAGGGAGAAGGACCGGCTACGAGAACGAGAGCGTGAACGAGAGCGTGATCGCGAACGAGAGCGTGAACGAGAAAGAGAACGGAAAAGAGAACGTGAAAGAGAACGCGAAAAGGAACGTGAAAGGGAGCGGGAGCGGGAGCGAAAGGAGAAAGACAGAGAACGAGAGCACAAACGCAGACTTGAACTGAAGCATGAGCAAACTCCTCCTCGAGTCTCTAGGGACCGCCAAGGTTCCACTTTGCCGAAGGATGTCAAATCTCTACGACGAGAGTCCCCCCGACGTGAAGTGCTGCATAGGTGGATCCATTTAATTGTATCTTGTATTAGTTCTGTATGTTTAGAAGCTATCTATCTTGCACCCGACCTAACTTCGTGTTATATAATGCTGAAGGCTTCATTCCCCTGTTAAAGAAAAGAGGAGAGAGTATGCGTGCAAGGTAAAAACATCAGTTCGGCAGCCTAGCTGTTACATGATATTCAGACTCGTTCATTAAATCTTTAATTGTTGGAGTGCTTTCAAGGACCTCAATGATGGCGTGGTCCTTTGGTGGTCCAGTCTTCATTGGGGGCTGAAATTGTTGACATCTGTTCTCTTCTTCCTCTTTCTTCTTGGGAACCTTTCGTTGAGTTCGATATGCCTTTAACCTGCCTGCTCTAAGATAGTTATTCAAGACATTTTAACTTCTCCTTCCGCAGATCATCTTGACACCTCTTTGCTCTTTCCTTTGAATAACCCATTCAATCTTCCACATAGCTGTAGTCTGCTTGAAATTGTCGTACTGCTTAAGCTTCCATTTTAGTTTCTTATACTAAAGAAATTTTTGATATCCTTTTATTCATCATTTTCTACATCAATTTTTTATTATAATTTTTGGTCAAATTATGTGCTTGCAATCTTGAAACCCTGTCCATACTGTCTGCTATTTACACCGAAACCTGTGAATTCATGCAAACCATTGTTCTTGTTGTTGCCTCCGACGTTACTATCACGTTATTGAAGACGTGTCTTTATCTTTCTTGTTAAAGATATTAGCATGTTAGAAACTAGGTGAAAATAGTGCCGAAATGTTTTGTTAAGGACATGTAGAGCGATTCCTCTTAATTCATTATGTTTGTTCTGCAGGTCTTCTCATTCAGTTTCGTAGAAGCGGAAAGGGATTATCTGTCACTGGACAAAAGATATCCCCGGCTCTACGTTTCTCCTGAATGCTCAAAGGTTTGACTATTCCTTGCAATATTTCATTTTTTCTACACCAGCTGCTGTATTTGATTTTATGGATTTGGCTGCTTATAGGTAGTTGTATATTGGCCAAAGAAGAATTTGCAGCTCTCTTTGTACACTCCTGTGAGGTAATATTTTCTTCCATCCTGTTCTTTGTTGCAGTTATTCAAGTTGACGTTGCCTACTAAGTAATAACTGTTTAATTTCAACTTAAGAGTTAAGTATCTTGTGAATATTTGCAAGGTGTAATTCTACTGTTAATTAAACTTGTCCGTACTTCAAAAATTGATGTCCCCATCAAAGTAAAAAAATATTGGTGCAACTTTGTAATGGTATTCTGATTTGTTATGTTAAAAATCTGTACTGTAAAAGAAATTGGTAAAAATATTTTACTGATATTTTGATTGCTATTTGAAATATGAATGGAAAGTAACTCTTCTTATTCTTGAAAAAATAGTTTTGAGCACGACTTTGTTGAAAATGCTGTCACGGATAGGAAGGAATCACCTAGTAAACTGCCCATTACTGACATTTCGATAGCTGGAGGACAAACTACCATCTGGAATGCCAAGGTAAATATTTAGAATCAATTGTTCTTTGTTCTATGTGCATGGCTAAAGTATAGTACCTAGAATCAACAGTAAGGCTTGAATTAAGTTTCACCACTGAAGTATAGTACCTATATCAAATACCCTTATGAATATTAAAAGATTCCTCAAATACATCACGATGGTTTAATTTCTGTTGTTGTACAAAATCACTAGCTCATTCTATCATTTATACCCTCGAAGGATGGCTCTCATATCAATCATCCCCTAAATATTACAATTCAGATCTAAATTTAAGAAAAGAATTCCAATCGACCTTGAGTCCATAACCTATAATAAAAATCGGTAAAATAAAAACATGAAGTGAATTTATACTAGTAAAAGGAAATGAAACCAAAATTAGAAGAAATAATAGAATATTATAATTTCCGCTTAGAGTTGTTCTTAATCCAGTAGTGTTATTAATTTAGAGTATTTTAAACCTGTAGTTCTACAAGATCTTTTCCTTTGTAGTCTACTAAGTCATACAAGATTTTTGGTCCGCTAATGTAATACCACTAGTTCTCAAGAGTTTTTCTTGAGGTCTCCCACATCGAGAACCATTAATGGTATCACACAATCAATGTTTATCTTGATTGTCAATTAGAGTATATAAGTTTAAAAGATCAAATTATGTTTGTTTCCTGAGAATATAAGAAGACTGTGTATATATATGCAATAATAAACCAATCATCCCCGTGATTTTTAGGTTTCTTAAAGTTAGCTTTTCATTTTTTTATGTGTAGAGTCTAGCACAGAATATTATTAAGTCAAAAGATCATTGGAATAACTTTTCTTGTATATTCAATTGTAGACTTCATTTTTCTATTCCTAGAAATTAGAGTGTATTTTGTGTAAGGGAATTATTTCCTATGCACTTAGAGCAGTTGCATATTTCTTTGCACTTAAATCAGTTCCATATTTCTTTGAATCATTGCCACCAAATTAAATTTTCAATGTATCCTGTACAAGAATTTGGTTTGTGTTGTATTAGTTGACTATAAAAATCGGAGTTTTCTGTACCATATTCTGCACATGTTAACTATCTTTTACTTGTAAGAAGATGCATTGGAGTGTAGCTTGACATTCCCATTCTAACCGAATATAAAAGCTTATTTGATATGTTCACAATGTTAGTTTATGCATTTTTGAAATATCACTTGATATGACATCCAATTGCTGTATCTGGACTTTTCCTGCCCATTTTATAACCTATAGGTAAGACCTCCAACTTATGCTTAATATTTAATTTACTGCTGTCAGATTATTTTGATGAGCGGACTTGGCCAAAAAGATCAGGCGGAGTTGTCATCTGAAAGAACCTACAATGACCGAATTCCACATTTTTGCAACATGCTTAGATTTGCTGTTCTTAGAAAGAATAACTCTCTAATGGCAATCGGTGGACCGTGGGACACAGTCGATGGTGGGGATCCTTCGGTTGACGACTCTTCATTAATCCGAACAGCTCTGAGGTTTATTACCTGAGTAATTTCCTTCAATCTAGTATGAGTTTATTGTTCATACTGAAAAAGTTATCTTTTTCAGGCATGCAAAAGATGTAACTGATCTTGATCTGACGAACTGTCGTCACTGGAACCGTTTTCTCGAGGTAGGCTATTACTCTTTCGCTTCATTATCCTACATGGTATGTTTAAATACACGTGTGACTCAGTATTGTTATGTTAAAGCCTGAATATGTGCACGATCTAGGCTGTGTGGGGATTTTTGGAATAAGGTTCCTCAAACACGCTTTGTTTTGAGTACTAACTACTTCTCTGATCTATAAAATATCCTCAGCATGGCTTTGAGGTTGAGCGGCGACAAGTGACAACCATCCTTAAAAATTAAATAACCCCAGATGCTGAAAAGTTATTCATTGTGGTAGAATGGAAAAATTGAAGGGGAAAAGAACATAAGAAATCATCACGTATGCTTTCTTGGTAGATTTGGTATTGTAAATGTGACTAAGATTTTGGTGTTCATGGAGATGTTTAAGGCAACTTTGTCCAAGTACTAATAGTTGTAATCTTTAAGGTTCAAAAGATGAAATACGCTGGTTTTCCGTATACAAACTGTTTTCATAGTTCAAATTTCCTTTATACATAATTTTGTTTATGAACTTCAAATTCCAACTTTGCAATCACCTTTGCTTGATATTAATATGAAGTAATCATGTCTTGTGCAGATACATTATGAGAGAGTTGGAAAAGATGGCCTCTTCAGTCACAAAGAAGTGACTGTACTGTATGTTCCAGATCTCGCAGATTGTCTTCCTTCACTGGATTCATGGAGAGACCAGTGGCTTAATCACAAAAAGGCTGTTTCTGAGAGGGAGCGTCTGCAAAGCCTGAAGAAAGAAGTATGCCCTTATATCTCATCTAAACACAATCTTTGCTTTTAATTATAATTTGACCTTTTAAAATTCTATGAGGTTAAAGAAACTATTAATGCATAGATAGCAGCGTTTTAATTTTTTATGCACTCTTTCTGCTCCTATTAATGCAATCATTATTCTTGTAAGATACTCCTCCAAAAGTTTTGCTGTTTTTCCCAACCGACCAGCCACTCCCACCCCAGCCATCTTATAGATCTTGCTACCTCAAGTTTGTCTGGTTGAGTTGAGTGCTTCAGGATTTTGTGTACATGAACAAATCTTAGTAAGAGGTAACAAGAAGTTTTCTAGGACTGATGTAACCTGCAATTTCTTATTGGCATAAAAGTTAATATATAACTTCTGTATATTGAGTTATTGACATTAAAGTTGATGCCGAAATTTTCGGAAGATAAGTGCAAGCAAGATAATGATGGGATGCATTTTACGAATTAATTTTGAAAACATATCTGTAGGAAATTAAAGTGATCATGTGGTGAGTTAATCAGGGCCAGGGCCTTTTGAAGGTTAATGATAGAGATTAAGAAACCAATCTGATATTTTCTGGAGATTGTACTGCTGCTATGGTGCAAAGTTGAAAAGGAGAATTCATGTAGATGGTTATAGAGTAAAACCGAATAATGCTATTTTGAGCTGTTGAGTTTTATTCTTACCTGACTCTCTATTACAGACAAATGTGTCCCCCACTCCCCATGTAGTTCACCCTTTTTTGATTTTTTTTGAATGGTTTTTGATTTCTGATTCATCTTTGTGTATTTTCTATTAGATAACTGGAGGCAAGAAGGAAAGCCCAAAAGGTAATTTATCTGAAATTTGAAAATGCACCATCTGATTGTTTTTTATCTATTGACTGACACATATTTTATCTTAAAGATAAGAAGAAACCTGAACATCTGAAAGATAGCATGACAAAAAAAGACCTTGAGAAAAAGAGAGATCCTTTATCTTCAGGCCAGCCTGAAGATGATAGTAAAAAGGAGAAAGATACCAACAAAATCGAAGGCAATATTGTTTCTGAAGAGGGGAACAAGAAAGATAAAGCAGTTGAAATAAAAAAAGTGGCTGACGATAAAAATGTTGTAAAGAAGGTCCAAGAAGGGGATCCTAACTCTCAGATAGCTGTTGGTGCCAAAACTGTAAAGAAGAAAATTGTTAAGAGGATCGTCAAGAAAAAAGTTGTTAAGAAAAGCGATAATACAGAAATTGCTACTGGACCGAGTGATGAAGTGGTCAAAGATGGTGCTGGAGGAAATAATGTCAGTTCAGAAGTCGATGGGCAACAGGAGGGCTTATCAGTTACTACTCCGGCAATTAAAACTTTTGTGCGGAAAAGAATTGTAAAAAAGCCAGTAGGTCCTGCTGTGGAGAAAGATGAATCCTCAAGTCTTGAACCTGAGATGGCTGTGGATAATGCAAAGGCTAAATCTGAAGATTCCAATGTGGTGGCCCAAGACGGTATCACCAAAACCACAGTAAAGAAAAAGATTATCAAAAGGGTTCCAAAAAGAAAGGCCATCTCAACAGAGAAGGTGGCAGAAGATGCTCTGGAAGGCGGTGAAGACAATAAGGGGAAACAGAAAGAAGCAGTTGTTGAAAAACAGATGAATGAGGTTATCTCCAAAAGTACAAGCAGTCCGGAAAAGAAGCCAGATAAAAAGGAGGAGAAAAAGACAGAGAGGAAGGATTTGTCTGGTTCTGCTATGGAGACTGATAATGTGAACCAAAAAGTTCCTCAAAATGATAATCGTGCGAAATCAAATGAAAAGGCAGAGCTGAAGGGCGAGAAAGAAAAAAAAGTTGTTGAAAAGAAAAGAAGTGATGAACCTCCTCAGCATCCTGGATTGATTCTTCGAACAAAAGAGACCAAGGTTTCAAAAGTATGTTTAAAGTGAAACACATTATCAAAATTATCAGTATCAGTAGTATCAGTTGTCCTGATATCTATATTAGAGTTTGCATGAACAGTATAATGATGTTCTTTTGTCTCGCAGATGAAGTCTTTATCACATTCATTGGACTCACTCCTGGATTATAGTGGTAATGATATCGAAGAATCAAACTTTGAGGTTCGATCATGACTTTGGTTTTTATTTTATTTGTTAACTCAATATCTTCAACTTCTCTGTATACAATTCCTACTTGAAGATTTTTAAGTTTCCTGTCTCTTATTACCTTTTCGCCATTGGAAGAATTTGATGCAGCCCCTACTTTCGTGTAACATTCATTCTTGCAGTTGTCATTATTTGCGGAATCCTTTTACGAGATGCTTCAGTATGAGATGGGCTGTCGTCTTTTGGCTTTCCTTCAGGTTGGCATGAGTTATTACTTTGAGTTTTAGATCTTAAATTAGTTTCATCATATTTTTCCCATTCTTCTTAGCCACTTTTCGTTTCGCAGAAGTTGCGCATTAAATTTGTAGCAAAGAGAAACAAAGGGAAGAGACAAAGAGAAGAAACTTTGCAGAAAGAAAATGAGGAGAGCTCGTCAATAAAGCGTGTTAAGACAGACACAGACACAAGTCCTAAAGATATCAAATCAACTAAAACTGAAGATACAGGTGTTGCTAATGGAGATGATATCAAAATTGAGACGAAAGAGCCTAATGCAGTTGATGCTGTTGGAGATGACAGCATAATTATGAAGAAAGAACCTAATACAGGTGATGCTGATGGAGATGACAGCAAAATTAACAAAGAGCCTAATGCTACTGAACACGTTGAAACGACTAAAATAGAGAATGATGTTGATGAGGAAGATCCAGAAGAGGAACCAGAGGAAGATGAAGAAATGCCTCAGGCAACAAGCCCTCATCACAACCCAACTAAGGAGGTAAGGATATACTTTTACGTTTCTGTCTATTAGTTCAATTACATTTCTAAAAGCAAAAAAAGAAACCGGCCCATAGTAAACATCTATAAGAGGGGGAAAACAAATCTATTAGAGTGAGTGAAGAGGTCTGAGATGAGGGCTCTTACACTGGAAACTAACAAAAATCAATTTATTTTTTATCACATCTTCATTAATATATATATATATATATATATATATATATAAGGTTTTTATGTGTATAGTTTGGAATTCACGTTAATAACTCGTTGTAATTATCGTGTACTTGGTCCTGTAGGAATGTGTTGACGCAGAAAAGAAAGCTGGTGATGCTGTTTGTGTTGATATTGCTAAGACTGAGCCGAAAGAAGAGCAAGAAACTGTGAAACAAACTCCAGAGACAGTTAGCAGTCCTGAACCGAGCAACAAAGAAAAGTTACCTAAGGCGGAACCAAAGAAAAAAGGAACTCAGACTGGTGTTGACAAGGAACTACTGCAGGCATGTCTACGAATGTCCCATATAATCTTTTGATTCTTCGTTTTGCTTTGTTAAGTTATTAAATTGACTTTCATCGTCTTTGTAACAGGCTTTCAGGTTTTTTGACCGCAACCGTGTCGGACACATTAGGGTAAGCTAACTTAATCACGTCGCTGTAAGTCATATTTGCCAAGATTACCGTGATTTGACTTGCTTTTTTTTTTTTTTTTTTTTTTTTTTATCTCTTCTCAGGTTGAAGACTTACGATTGATCATCCATAACTTGGGGAAGTTCCTTACTCACAGGGATGTTAAGGTTTGTTTTTTCATGGTCAATTCTCTGTTAGTTAAATTGTGTTCAAGCATCAAATAAAATCTTTTAATTAATAAACATATTTAACGTGAAATAGGAACTCGTGCAAAGTGCGCTGTTGGAGAGCAATACTGGCAGGGACGACAGAGTTCTGTATGATAAACTGGTGAAGATGTCTGACATATAAATTAAATCGCTCGGTGAATAGTGTTTTAAAGACTTCGTAGGAATTCTCGGTCAAATAATATTGATTTTGTTACGTTGAATATGTTTAAGCTTATGGTTTGATGCCCCTTCACTTTTTCTTTTACTAGATTATATATTTACTCAAATTATTTTGGCTGAGTTTGTTTTTGCTCGGTGATTTACTCGGGCTCGAACTCTCAATAAATTATAATTCACTCAAAGGATCACTGCTCGACTTAACCATTGAATTTCTTCTTTTGCTCTGCTGAATAACCGACTTTATTCCCGCGCATTTGACTTGCGTAAAAACTATCTCGGATGTTTTGTTTATGTTAACTGTGAGGTTATTGAACACTTGCTAGAAATGCGTTCAGTCTTGAGTCGTGTTTGGCGACAAAACACAATGCTTAAAGAATAAACATTGACTTTATTATGATGGTAAGTGAACGGTACCAATAAAGTCTTCTATCGATTTTTCGGGGATATTTTGATGCTTCTCTGTTTGCACCCAAAGTAAGTGCGACGCCAAAGTGTGAACTCAGTTTGGTGACTAACATTACAGAATTTACTAACAACGATGAACAACAAAACGGCCAAAACAAACTAGGATCACCATAAAAATGATCGATAACCAACAACGAAAGCATGTACTTGTATTCAATTTACATAAAATTCGAATTACTTGCACGAATCGAACCTAAGTTCCTATCCTCGCACAATAAACGGCCAAATCGAACTAAAAGTTTACAACATCATCATCAACGAATTGAGCGATACCCAACAACGAACCACATAGCATAACCAAATTATGTGATTAAAACGAGAGATTGTTTTCTAGGTATATGCGTGTGACAAATTTGTTTAATATAACCATTAATACCAAAGGGTATTTATGTAACTCTATCTCATATTAGGCTAGGTTAAAACACACATAGGACTTTTAGCAAATAGCATAAAGCCGCGTGCCCTGTTGGCTATAAAAAATATTTTCCAGGGAGCAGCAACCAATTTCCCATATTTTCGAAGCATTCGTAAAAAGACCATTTTGCCCTCACTCAACAAAACGAGATGAGTGTAAAATTAGGTTTGTGGTTTTCGTGCATGGCAAGGGGGATTCAAATCTCAAACCAAAGTCAAGTCCATCTTCAAACATTTCCTCTTACAAGACTAATAGTGGTCAATTAGAATTATGACTTAGGCTAACTTAGATTTAGTCACAAACTACTACTTATACATGGTCTTATAAACTATATATATATATATATATATATATATATATATATATATATATACATTTTATCATAAACAAGAACTTATTAATAGTTTGAATAATTCAATTATGGTAGCTAACTTTATGGGATCCATATAATGTAAATTATAACAACAACAATTATAGTGACAATAGCGAAGTTCGATCGCTTCAAACAGTAGGTTGAGAGCTATATAAACTTTTAAAGTCACGTCCGATTACCACTATTAAGCTCTATTAACTGAATATCAGGTGTTAGTTAAACGTTCAGCTGAGAACACGCCGAGTTGTAAATTGCACGTGAAAATGTTTAATATTAAAGACAGATCTAAAAGAATATTCATAATTTCATATCATAGCACAAATTCTCTTGCATAGATAGATGGATATTTTTTTTGTATTTTTTCTTCTTTATTAATAAAATGGTAAATTACGAATATACCCTCAATTCAGATTGACTCGAACGTATATAATAGAAAAATAGAAAAATTAAAACGAGAGAGTTGTGGGCCGGCGACCAATTAATTTGAATGTGTACATGATTTGGTCTTTGTTGTGTTACGTAATATGGTGCAAGCATTAAGCAATGGATGTTAACGTGAGCAGGCCGGCTCATTTTAGATAGAGATGGACTCATTCTTCATTCTTCTCAATGTTCAACTCTTGTCTTGCATTCTATTTTATTCTCATTTTTTTCCTTTTATTATTAATAATAATTCATATTTTTTTTCGTGGAATGCACGGAATAACATTTCAGATTTGAAAAAAAAATAACTATTTAAATACATGACAATAGAATTGTAATAAGAAATATGTTATTCTATATAATATGATAAAGGAAAATAGGGGGAAAACATTTAAAAAAAAATTATCATGTGAGTGGATAATGATTTTGCTGCAAATTTAATTTGAGGATGAAAATTAGGTGATAAAAATTAAAAGAACAGTCTGAAAATATGAAATGCTATTTGCGGTCACAAAATTGCTATTCGCGGTTTATGACAAAACCCCCCAAAACTTTTAAAAATATCCAAAAACCCCCCAAAACTGCAAATAGCAAAAAAAAAAAAATCGAAAACTCGAAATCAAGCTTGAAGAAGGGTTGGGCTTCGATTTTTTGATGTAATTTCGACTATTTTATGTGTAATATGCATTGGGTAGGTCGATTACAGAACCAATTTCATGTTAAAAAACCCTACAAATCGATTTGTATGGCTTTTTTTTCGCAAAAAAAAAAAACAATAATTTTTTTTTTTTGCACTGGACGCCCAAGTTGGGCTTTTACGCGTTTGTGGGGGTGGGGGGGGGGGGGGTTTGGATTTTTTTGGGAAGTTTTGGGTTTTAGTGAAATAAAGTGTTTTTTTGGGGGGTTTTGTTATAAACCGCAAAAAACATTTCCCCTGAAAATTTACGAATATGCTTGTGTACAACAAATTCTTATCTGCGATTTAGACAAACAAGAAAAACTTGCACAAAAATAATTTATTGAATTAAAATAAAATATTGCGGGTTACAAACTCTAATTTAATCCTCTGATTCTTCTCTCAAGAACAATATGTGTTTGACTTTGAATTTCGGAGACGGGTCGTTGACTTGATCTTCTCCGGATTTGATTTGGATTTGAATAACGTCTTCCGAGGGTCTTGCGACTTGAATCTCGGATCGAAAAGCTGAACTTTGACGGGTTTTGACTTGAAGATCTTGGAGTTCTTGATGTATTTGACCCTTCAATCTTCCTTCGATCTTGATTTGTTGAAGAACGCCCTCGATTTGATGAAGAACGCCTTGAATTTGATGAAGAATGACTTGAATATTGTAGAGAGAATTTTCTCCTACGGTTTTTCTTCTTCTTGAGTTGTGTTTTGAATTGTGTAGAGAGGGTCCCTATTTATAGTGGTAGAATAAGAGTCCTACTTAAAGTCTACTTGATGACGTGGCGCGATTTGATTGGCTCTCTTTAAATTGATATTTATCTCTTATAACTTGGAAGAGAAGAAATAATCCTATTGGCCAATAATTAATTGATAATTATCTCCATAACTTATTTTGTAAGATAAATTATAATTTAATTTAGACACAATTTAATTGGC